GGAGGGAGGGAAGACGGAGAGAGGGATGTAAGGAAGTGTGGATAATGGGGGAGGGATGGGAGACAGTGGGGGAGGGATGGGAGACAGTGGGGGAGGGATGGGAGACAGTGGGGGGGGGCTATCATCTGGTTTTCACACCATCACAGCCTCAGATAAACAAACAGCTCGGTCCTTCACACGGTCAGAAGACGGCACGACGTCGGAGACCGGAACGTTAGAACGACAAGTCATGAAGGTGGAGGGAGCGTCGTCCTCCAGGGTCGCGACCTTTTCCAACAACCTTTCTTTTTAAACTAATAAAATCAGTCAACAAATGGAATAAAATTCAAAGACAAGTGCCGTTTATAACTGTGGTACAGAAACAAACAAAAAAAAAAAATTTAACTGTCCCTGCAACGGCTCCGCCCCCTACTTTGAGCACCACTGTCCTGGTAGAGTTACTGCAGTCTACAAACTCTGTCAGGACAGGACAGCGTTCACAGGACACACACATCTCAAGTCTGACCACTAGGGCGGTGCTGCCACTCAGAACTCAATCTAACAAACGTCCCAAAAACAACAGAAACTCTTCCATGACCTTTGACCCGCGGGGTCATCAGAGGTCACGCCTCAGTTCCGGCTCATGTTCTCAGTGGACACGGACGTAAACAGGTAACTAAGGCTCACGCTGTGGACACGTCGTTAAACACCAGCGTCCACAGGGGGGCGTTTAGATCCAGGTGAGTGGTCACACCGTACCAACTGTGCATCTGTGTGTGTGTGTGTGTGCACGTGTGTGTGTGCACGTGTGTGTGTGTGTGTGTGTGTGTGTGGGTGCATGAGGAACATGAAACATGCAGCCAGCAGCAGGTTCTCAGGGGTGGATGGGTGTTTGAGATGAAGTCAGGTGATACAGTACTACAGTACTACAGTACTACGGTATTACAGTAATACAGCATTACAGTAGTACAGTATTTGATGTCATTAAAATACACAACAAACCTAGTTTTCAGAAAAGTTGGTACAATTATGCACGTTGACCCTTATCTACCAAGGAAATCCCGGGGTATTTTAGCATCCTAGCATGCTAGCTTGGGGTCTTAGCATCTTAGCATCCTAATGTTGTAGTGTCTCAGAATCTTAGCATTTTAGTATCGTAGCATCTTAGCGTCTCTGCATCTTAGCATCTTAGCGTCTCTGCATCTTAGCATTTTGGAACCTTAGCGTCTCAGCAAATTAGTATCTAAGTATATCAGTCTTAGCATCTTAGCATCATATTTTTAGGGTTAGAGTTAGCTGACTCTCTCTAGACTGCAGGCCGGACAGTCAGTCCTCTGACAGGACAGAATTTTGTGTGTTGTTTCTAAATTATAAAAAAAAAAACCCAAATATTTACACAACACAGTGAGCTCCAGTGCGTCCTTTCCTGAAGGCTAATGAAGCTAACACGTAGCACAAAACAAGCACAGCTAGCAGGTCAACCTGATAATGACGGGATTTAGATGTTGCCGAAACTTCAATGAAGTAAATTCAAGTGCAAACTTTTGTTTTTTTTGGGTTTGGAACTGTTTACCACCATCTTTTCTGGAACTTGAGTTTGTGTGAAGCTGCGGTTCTTCTCCGTCCACACCATGCACTGTGGCTGCTGGACAGGTGACAGGTCAACGTTTAATCTAGTGTGTGTGTGCGTCTGTGTGTGGAGGAGATCATCGATGGGATGCTGATGGACAGGCAGTGACAGCAGAGGGCAGTCTTCCTCATAATGAGAGCTGAAGAGACAGAAAGGGGGACAAACCTTGCCGACAGGTGGGCTCTTCTACGGGCCGTTCCAATAGGCAGGTGGGGATGGGGGAGAGAATGGGCAGGGTTAGTCAAACTCAGTGTGAACGTGGTGGAGGTGTGGGGGGGGTGAGGAGGAGGAGGGGGGGGGGGAAGACATTAGCAGCATTAGCATGAAGTCATCGAGAAAACAAACTTTTTTTCCGTCACCTAGGGGGGTCGTGGGGGAGCTGAGGGAGGTGGGGGAGGTGGGG